GGGATGCTTTGCGACGCACGAACGTATTTCTTTGTTCCAATCTACACCGTGCTGGGAAAAACGCTGTGCCAGTATTTTTCTCATGGGCCAAGAGCCAAGACACTCGAAGGGTGCCCCAGGAAGCTTAGAACCTTTTTTTAGTTTGGGCCTTTCCGGGAACTCATTTTGGTGTTCCCGGGACGTCTTTTGGGGCTGTGCCGGGTAATTGCTTCGAGCGTTCCCACGACATTCGCTGGCGAGGGGCTGGGGAGAGTTTTGGTGGTGTAGGATAGGCGCTGGGAGCTGTGTGGACGAGATCTGTTTACAGCGTCGACGAGGAGGCCTGTCGAGATGTGTGGGAATTGAAGCTCTCAATGCCGAGAAAGAGAGAGAGAGAGAGAGACAGAGAGAGAGAGAGGACGAGGACGAGGAGGAGGAGGAGGATGAGGAGGTCGAGGGGGCAGAGTGGGCAGCGGGGTTGTCAACGACGGCTGTCACGCACATTGGCTGCTTAAGCCCAAGCTCATGCCTGAAGTAAAAGTACACAGGCCGCAGGAGGAAGAGGAGGAGGAGATCGATCAACCCCAGATGACGAATGCTTCGCATTTCCTGCGATAAGTGTCAGTACCGCTTCTGCATAGAACATGTATTAAAACCTTCCTGGGCGTCCCAAGCGACCATGCTAATAAAGCCAACACAAAACATACAAAGTGAGACCACCCACGTATAATGGTAGAATCGCGAGGCGTCAGCCGCCTGCGAGCCAGTGCCAGGTCAGCGATGCATAACGGAGGATGTCGAGCAGAAGACCTAGCTTACCTCGCCCCCTTTTGGAGGGACCTGTTGTACGCCCCCGAGAACTCCGGGGGGGAACACTGATGATGCCAAATGGCGTTGTGGAGCCTGACGAGGGCGTAGAGAGAGAGAGAGAGAGACAGAGAAAGAGCTGAAGGAGAAGGGCGTCTCCTGCCAGCGCCTCCGAGCCGCTGCTCGGAGGCATGCACAGGAAATCATCCAGGGCCCACTCCGGAGCCCAACGTGGCCCATCCATGAAGGAGGCAGTCAGCTTTCGAACTGTCGGGCATCGTGCAAGATGTGCTAGACTGTCGTCGCCGACGCCGCAGGCGAACGAGTAGGTCCCGCGAGTGTGAATGCGACGCCACGTGCACCACCCGTCGCAAAGTGTGCGCAAAGAAGCGGCCTGGAGCCGCGCCCCCCAGACTCGGAGCCGCTTCCTTTGTACCCTGCTTCTCTGTCCAGCTTTGGTCACAACTCTGTGCCGTACCGAGTGTTGTCGCTCGAGTCTGCCACTTGCACATCAGATCCCTCCTCATCCCCTTCGCCCTGCATCTCTTGTCTCATCATGATGTGCTTTCACCCAGCTTTGGGTGGGGCTGGCATTCTCGTTACGACGGTGGTTGCTGAGGCAAGTTGTCCGCTCCTATCGCCTGCCGCCGAAAAAAGAGAGGCTCGTCGAGATGTGCACATGGCGTGTTCCACGAGCTCAGAGACTCAGAGTAAGAATATGACGATAGGGAAAGAGGAGGAGGAGGAGGAGGTGGAGGAGGAGGAGGATGAGGAGGAGGAGGAGGAGGTCGAGGAAGAAGACGAGCAGCAGGGGGATGACAAAGAAGCGGAGGATGAGGATGAGGAGGATGAGATGGATAATGATGAGCTGTAGGAGGAAGACCAGAGACCATGGCAGAGGAAGGGGTCGATGATGATGATGGTGGTGGTGGTGGTGATGATGATGATTTTGATGATGATGACGATGATGACGATGACGATGATAACGATGCCGATGATGTTGTCGTTGATGATGTTTCTGACTATGATTATGCTGCTGTTCATGATGATGATGATGATGATGATGATGATGATGATGATGATTCTGATGATGATGACGTGGACGACGACGACGAATATGAAAATGAGGATGAGGATGAGGCTGACGATCATGATGTTGTTGTTGATGCTGATTATGGTGATGATGGCGGGGGGTGGCGCTGACTACGACAACGTTGATGTTGATGTGGTTGTTGTGAATATGGTTCTTGCTGTTGCTGTTGCTGTTGCTGGTGTTGTTGGTGTCCTCGTTGTCGTCGTTGTCGTCGTGGTTGTTGTTGTGGAGGAGGAGGAGGGGGAGGAGGGGAAGGAACATATGATATTGATGTTGACGATGGTGGTTGTGGTGATGATGATGCTGATGCTGATGACGATGATGATTATGATGATGACGATGCCGATGATGATGACGACGATGACGATGACGTTGACGATGACGACGATGATGATGATGATGAGGAGGAGGATGATGATCATCATCATTATGATGATGGTGACGATGATGCTGATGATGAGAAGACGATGATGATGACGATGATGATGGCGATGATGATGATGGTGATGATGATGACGATGACGATGATGATTGTGGTGGTGATGATGATGATGCTGATGACGATGACGATGACGATGACGATGACGATGATGATGATGATGATGATGATGATGATGATGATGATGATGATGATGATGATGATGATGATGATGACGACAATGATGATGAAAGCTGATGGCCCACCTTCAGTAGCCATCGCGCTGATGGGTTCCCCACGGCGGCGACGAGTTCCGAGGGCCGGCCGCCCCTGCGGGCGCCTCCCCCAGAGGCGGCTGACGGAGGCGGAGAGGCTGCGACGGCAGGACCGCGCCGGAGAAGGGAGGGAGGAGGAAGGAGGAGGAAAAAGGGGCAGAGGGGGAGGGGTAGGAAGAAGGGAGGAGGAGGAGGAGGAGGAGGAGGAGGAGGAGGGAGGAGGAGGAGGAGGAGGAGGAGGAGGAGGAGGAGGAGGAGGGAGGGCGGAAGCGGGAGGGCTCAGCTGCTCTTCCTTCACGGTCTGTCTTTGTCCGCAGCGCTCGCCACTAGCCTGATTTGTTTGTTTCTTCGCCTAAGTCGGCGATTGTCTTTTCATTGTATTAGCGCCAGAAGCCCGCGCTTCAGGTCCGTGCAACGTCAAAACGGAAGCAGGAGGGAGGAGGGAGATTTTGCGGCGCTCTTGGGGCGGTCTTGAGGCCATCTTTGAAGCGTCCGGGCGATCGCTTCGGGAGCAAAGCTCATTGAATTTCTAAATATTTTCAAGCGGATTTTGCTCTGAAGGCCTCGCTGGATGCCTCTTCGGGCGTCTCCTGGAAGCCTCTTGTGGCCGTTTTGTTCGTCTCAGGAGGATCGTGGAGCTTTTTGGGGCTCGGTGGCAGCCGTTTTGCGGCGGTCCTTGACTGTCTGCAAGCCGACAACTGCGCTATTTGGAGTGTCTTCGGGCGCTCAAGAGGCTGTTTTGGACTGTCTCGGGCGCTTCGGGGCGCTCTGACGCCTTCGAGGCGATCTGAAGCCTGAAAGGTTCGGAACCAACTTCTTCTGATATGCCTTAAATTTGTCAACGCTTTTCGCGCCTGAGGGCCTCGCTGGAGGCTTCTTTGGGCTTCTCTTGGAGGCTTCTCGGGGCCTCTTGGGGCATCTCGGGAGATCTTGCAGCCTTTGGGGCGACGATGGGCCGTCTTTGGACGATCTTGGGGCGTTTTGTAGCCGTTCTCGGACGGTCATAAAGTTGTGGATGGTTACAAAGATTGGACAGTCACAAAGTCCCAGGAGAGCACAACCATGAGGGACAGTTTTCTAAGGATGCGTGCTACCAGGAGGGCGGCCCTAAAAACACTGCAGAAACCTCGTCAGGCAACAGAGGAGCACTGTATCACGCCCAAGCGTGCCTACGACAGGGTGGCGAATTCATTATTCATATTCTGCTGCTGCTGATACCGCTTCTGCTGCTGCTATTTCTGAAGCCGATGCCGATGCCGATGAAGATGACGATGGTGATGATGATGCTGATGATGATGATGATGCTGATGCTGATGATGGCGATGATGGTGATGATGATGGTGATGATGATGGTGATGCTGATGATGCCGATGATGATGAATACTAATATCATGCTGACGATGAGGAGTTGGAGGAAGACGAGGAGGAAGAGGAGGAGGAGGATGAGGCTGATGCTGAGTATAATGATGGTGTGGTGATGAGGGTGAGGATGTGGACGATGATGACGAATCTGATGCTGATGAGGATGATGACGAATCGGATGCTGATGTTGATGCTGATGATGCTGCTGCTGCTGATGCTATGTATTGACACTGTTTCATTGTGGTTCTTGTGATGGCGATCATGACGAGTGGGGGACGAGAGATGAGAGAGAGGGGGAGGCAAGAAGGACGTAGAAGGAGACAGGAGCATGTAAGTTCTGGATAGTTTGACATTTTTTTATCGGGGGCTTGTGAACAGGAGGAGCATGAGGGGCAGGGGGGGGTAGGAGGAATCCCCCCCTCCCCCCTCCCCCTCAACTATTTCCGCTCTCCCCTTTCTTGCGTTTCTCCAGGAGCTGGCAGACGAATTTCAGCATGCCATCGGGGACGTCAAGAAGAAAATGGACCAGCAGGCGTTCTTGGTATCTCCCTTTGGCTGGCAGATGAGCAATGTGACAGGATGTGGTGGCGGAAGTTACACCCCGCCCCCCGTCATTATGAGATGGGGAGGAGGAGGATGGAAAGATCTGAACCTAGCAGGGTCGACAGACAATGACTAGAAGGAGGATGTGGAGGATGACGAGGAGGGAAAACAAATCCTAGGTCCTTCGCTCCTGAACCTTGAGTCTCACGCCCTGTAACTTTCTGTAGTGCCCCGAGCTCTGGTTTCTTAAGGCACGACTGCATTCATCGAACAGTTTCTCGGGACATGTTTCCGCGTATGCCTCTGGCCTGCGATCGATATGGAGATTCGGTGGTTTGGATCCCACGTGCAACTCATGCGTTTTCTCGTTCAGTTTATGATTCAAGGCGCTTCACGGTCAGTGCCCGCCCGCATCGTTCTCAGGTAGTTGATAGAGTCCAAGGCGATGCGACGACAGGCCCCCGATCTATCCAACAGATGCGAAGGCCCTAAGACCAGGACTAAGGCCCTCCAGGTGGCCAAGTGGCAGCGCACGCTGACCGCACAATGGTGCACAACATCCGTTCCGTAGCCATTTTGGGTCAAGTTGGCGAATTCCCAGCCCTTCATTGGAGTATTACACATGATCCCTAGAAGGTTGCCCAGGAGATCAGAAATCAGGGACAGAGCTGTCCCCAGTCTACCTCGCGGCGTCCCACAGAGACGCGGACCGCGCTTCATGTGACAGGTTGCGGCTACCCGACTCGGCGGCCGCGCTGCTCCACTTTCCAGCATGGCGCCAGGCCCGCTGGACGGTCACGCGCCGCGGGTGCTGGGCCAGCGGCAGTGGGACGCGGCCGCGCGCGGCGGCGCGCCCGCAGGCGGTCAGCTGCGGGCTGTAGGCAGGCCTGACGCCCTGCACGCCCCGTCCGAGGAGTGGATCGCCTTCCAGGGCCGCGCCTCTCACTTGCACATCGGCGCCAGCGTTCCGCTGCAGCTGGAGATGTGGCTTGCGGGCGGAGTCACGAAGGGCTTCTGGAGCGTGCTGGGGCTGTTCGGCGACGTCTGTGACCGAATCGTCAGGGACGTCGGGGCGTTTGCGCTGCGGTCCGACAGGGGCATCCACAGGTGCTTCTGCGGGAGCGAAGATGCGGACGGCATGTGGTCGGGGCTGCTGGTCCACAGCCCATGAGCAGGGTGGCTCGTTCCAGCTCTGGCGCTGCGCGGGCGTTCGGCGCCACCCACTCCGTCGCGGCCATCAGCGGTGCCTGGTGCACCGGCGGTCCACAACGGCGGGTATCTTTGTCCAAAATTAGCTACGGGGCTCAGGAAATCGCGGTCAAGGGTGGCGCGCACCCCTCAAAGGAGACGAAGGAAGTCATTATCTCCGTCCGGAAGCTGATGGAGGCAATCGCTGTCGTTTGGGAGCTACATCCCAGAGGGCTGGACCTTGCCAAGCTGGAGACCATGGTTCACAGGAGGTACCTGGAGATGGGGCAGGTATGCGTCCTGGAAAGCCAAGGCAGCTCCACCCTCGTGCTCGGCTCAGCGCGCCGCGCGGGGGTAGCGTCGGTTCTGCCGCCAGAGCGCATTCCGCCCAGCGCCTCGAAGTCGCTGAGCAGGCAGACGAGCAAGGCGGGCTTGCTGAGCGGGCTTGCTGAGTTGGGCCCGCCGAGGCCGGCGCTGAAGTTGCCGGAGCCTCGTGTCCTGATGTGTGGCCGTGGCAGCGATTGGTATGGCAGGACTGCTGTCAGAGTCTCGCCTCAGGCGCGGAGCTGGAGTTTGCACTCTGTCACCAATGGATTCGTGCGGCTACCTTTTCTCCAGGGCCAGCGCTCTCGCCGCTTCACGGCCATCACGTCTGTTCCTTATGCGGCCGTAGTCGGGGTTACTCTCAGGTGCCGCTTCCCGTTGACGAGAAGCGTAGAGACCACGTCCGCATATCCGCACCATCCTCAAATGAATATACCAGGAAGTCAGAGCTCGGGTTGACCCAAGAGGGGGTCCAGTGACAAGGCGGTGGTGCAACAGATTTGGTGCAATAGATTTGTGGGGTTGCAATACATCTGGGGCGTGCAATCCATTCCGGGGCGCAAAGGTATTGCTGGATTTTCGCGTGCAATACATCAATTGCAGTACAATGCAATCCAATTCTCTGGCGCAATACATTTGCAATACACTTACCCCAAATCTATTGCACCACCCCCTTTCCGCTGGACCCCCTTCTGGATCACCCAACAGAGCGCTTTTTCAGACTCACTTTATTATCTATCGTGGGCGCGCGCGCTGCGCATCCGACAGAAGGGTTGTAATTCCCAGAGAGCCATGGCGCTCGTGCTCGGAGTAGCTGTGCAAATGGCTAGATGACGGAACTGGATTTGCCAGGCTGTCCTTCCCAATTTAAGCTATGCCCTGACGCTAGTACCTCGCTGTAATTTGGATTCATCGACCCTCCGACCCTCAAGGGAGGGATTGTGCCTACCGCCCAGTCGGACGTGTCTTCGTCGGACTGATAGGTTTTGCTTCGTTACCATCATCGTTTCGGCCCTATGGGATCGCATATTAGCAATCCTGCCAGCAGTTCGGCTTAGCTTCAAGCGCATGAAGTTGAGCGGATGCTTTTGCACACCGTTCAAGGTGCGTGTGCGGCTTGTTCGTGATGCCCTCAGCGCTTGTTCTATTTGAAGTCTTAATTCGAGGGATATGGAATTCGTGAGCCCGCGCTAGTTGCACTGCGCCTATTTCACGGGTTCATCCCTGAAGCATGCTGAGCTGTTTGTTCAGTTGTTTGCGATTGCGCATAGCACACTCAGGTGATCTTGCTTCCTGCTAGTGAAGAGCTTGACCAGTCGATTTCCGCAGAATGGCACGCTCCGCGCATCGCGTCGCATCATGTGTTTTCGTACCTGCGCGGGAGGTACTTGCCCCTGTGTGTACGTATGAGCAAACGTGTCGGGCATTCGTTGGCCGCGTCTCGAGCAAGCCACACCAGATTTTGATACGGGACGCTGGCGGTGCGGGGTGCGTGGGAAACACGATGCGACTGCAACTGTTGCGGATGTGCTGCTGTGCATATGCGTTCTGGGTTGCGCATCGGAACACAACAATTGTGCACAACATTCGTCATGGGCCCTTTGGGGCCATCTTGCGACCATCGTGGGAGCATCCGGGGCCATTTTGGAGCCATCTTGGGGGCCATCTTGGATGGCCTTGGGTGCTCTTGAATTTTTTGTTGGAGGCCACCATCGCCTATCCTGATACCATCTTGGTCCGAAGAGTGGGAACGGCAAAAACGATTGAATACGTGCTCCTCACAGGCCTCGGGGTCCTCAAGCATAAACCTGCCGTAGGTCGAGCATCCGGGGGCGTGAGCCTCGGGGTCGTCAGGCATAAACCTGCCGTAGGTCGACGGAATGCGTGGAGGCTCTGGGGGTATGTGAGCCTTGTATACCCTCGTAATTCCGTCTTCAGCGTCGGTTAGCGTCTGGGAGTCGATGAGATAGCGCCGACTTAGCGTCGGCTAGCGTCGATTAGCGTCGATTTAGCGTCGACTAGCGTCGACTAGCTTAGATTAGCTTCGATTCGCAAGAGCCGACAAGGTGGGGTGGGAGGCTCCCACGAGTTACCACCGAACATTCGTGGGCCCTCGTGGGCTGAAGCCGCCCCGTGCCGTCTTGCAGCCTCCCTGCGGCCCCCCGTGAGGCTCGCCTGCGGCCGAGGGTGCGAGAAGGCTACGTTGACCAAAGTGACAGTCTGCTGTTGTCATTTGGCCCCCCGGGGACCTCCAGAGGAGGCTCAAACGGCTCACGACAGCACGGACTATGACGCTGTCACGCCCCCCGCCTCCGTGGGTACTGTTTGACTGGCCTGGGCGAGTCAAGCCATCTCTACGCGACACGCACGGTTCCATCTCCACACGGTGCCCCCCCGACCTGGTTCGTACCCGCTCTTCAGATCCCTCTCGGCTTTTCCTTTGCACTTTCGCCAGCCATCGCTGCCGCCGTTACGGTCTGTGTCCTCTTCACTGTGAACCGAGGGACCCCCCCTCGCGCGCGGCACATGCCAGGCCAACGAGCGATCTCGTCTTGCACGGGAGAACGAGGACCGCGCGCGTGTTCCATTGCAGTTCCGTGGTTCCCTTTCGCTGCAGCACTGCAGAGCAATCAACGATGGTGCGGGGTGATTCATTCTCGCAGACGGCTCTGAGCGGGGTGGCTCCATCCAGCCCTGCGTGCTGTGCAGTTTTCCCGCCCTCTCTGATCTCCTCCTCCTCTTCCTCCTCCTCCTCCTCCTCTTGCTGCTCAGCCTCCCTTCTCATCCTCCCGCCTCCTTCGCGCTTCCTTCGCGCCTCCCGCGAGCCCCCCCTCCTACTACCTCCTGCACCCTTCGCAACCCCCTCAGGATTCCTTCGAACCCCTTGAAGCCCGAAATAGTCGCACTGACTCATGACAAGGGGAATTGGGACCCGAGGGCCTGTTGCAGCATCGGTAGTGTGTGATGGGTTTGCTTTGGTCCACCTCTTTCTCCTCCTCCTCCTCCTCCTCCTCCTCCTTCTCTACTCACTGACTCACTCGTGCATTTCCTCACTCCCTCACTCCGTCACTCCCTCACTCCCTCAACTCACTCCCTCCTCCCTCTCCCTCTCATCCTGTCAGCGGGGATTGGGGTCTGCGTCATCGTCGTCGTTTGGCGCAGGGTGGCCCCCAGGGCGGCCCCGAGAGGGCCTCAGTGTAGGCCCGGGGATATGCCACAAGGGATGTCCCAAAACAGGCCAGAAGGCCCCAAATAGATCTACGAGTGGGACCCCCCGAGAGAGGCCTCGAGAAGAGCCCAAGAGGCCACCAAAGACAGGGAGAGGACCCCTGAGAGCTCCCAAAGGGAGGCTCCGAGGGAGAGCCCAAGGGTCCCCAGAGGTCCCCAGAGGAGCTCGGAGGTTCGCCAAGGCCTCCGGGAGGGCCCCGGAGGTCCATGGCGGTCCTCGGGAAACCCCAGAGGTCTCTAGAGGTTAGGGGGCCTTGGGGGGGCGATAAATGAGGGGGTAGCGAGGGCTGCCGAAGAGGAGGCCTTTAGGGACCCTGCAGTGGCCATTTGGGGCGCAAGAGGGGGCCTTCAGTGCCCGAAAAGGACACCGTTCTTCCCCCTTCATTTATCGCCCCCATCAAGTCGCGCCCAGCAGAGGTCTGGCCCTCTATCCAGAAGAGGCGAAGCTTTTGCGAACACCTCGGTCCTTGTTTTTCCCAGAGGGCAATCTGCGCTCTGGCTTTGCGTCTCGAGCTCTTGGCGCCCTCCGCCGCCCGTCCTCGCGTCGGCACCGGTAGCCACACCAACGAGCCAGGTCAGCGACGTGCGGCGGCCGTCTTCCTCTGGAGGATGGGGATGAAGGTGAGGAGGAGGAGGAGGAACCATGATATGAACAACATAACTGATCAGACGAATACTACGAATCATACTAATGTCACCAAATCGAATACTAATGATACTTGAACTCGTACTAGTAAGCATACTGTGAGTACTACTACTACTACTACTACTACTACTACTACTACTACTACTACTACTACTACTACTACTACTACTACTACTACTACTACTACTACTACTACTATACTACTACTACTACTACTACTACTACTACTACTACTACTACTACTACTACTACTACTACTACTACTACTACTACTACTACTACTACTACTACTACTACTACTACTACTATTCTTATTATATTTGTCCTTGACTGTTTTGTTCCGTGGCGGCGAGGCGGTCTCAGGCCAAAGGTCCGAGGGGGATCTTTGGGCGTCTCCATAGTCGCTCTGGTCCAAGCTCGCATGCACTGGCTTGCAGAGCAGCTCGGCGGGGTGGGTTCCGCTTTCGTCGGCGCGTACCTCGGCGCCTCCACCGCGAGCACCCATTGCTCGTGCCATTTCGAGTCCAGCCCCGTGGACGAGGGGCTCCTGACAATCCTGCGGGCGCAGCTGGACCGCTGCGGGCCCGAGCGGCTGCACGCCGCGGCGGCGCCTGTGTGCGCCCAACCGGTGGGCGGCTTCTTGGTGGCGGCTGGCCTCGGGCTGCTGCTGGGCGTGAGCCTCACCCTGGGAGCGCAGGCCGCGCTCCGCCCGCAGGCCCCAGCCGCGGCCCAGCCTGCGGCCGCCGGCCGCGCCCCGGCGACTCCGCCGGCCCAGCAGGAGGGGGCCGCCTTGACGCCGTCTTCGCTGCGGCGCCTGCGGGATGGCGACAACACTGGACTTTGATATCATCCAGATCCTGGTGGATTTCGTCGACGATCCCAATATATTATGGCATCACCGACTGCTGCTCTTCGAGCTGGGGCCGGGGCGGTGGGTTTGCGCCACCCCGGATTTCTCAGTTCAAGTCATCGACTTGTCTCAGCACCGCGTGCTGCCCCTGGCGCGGGCGGCGCCGTGGCCGGCACAGGTGCGTGGCAATGTGTACGGCTTCGACCCGCTCACGGCCGACCAGCGGGACGACCTCTTCCTGCGGGGCGGCCAGCTCGCCCGGGTGCTGGGCCACCAGCCTGGCAACGTTGCGGCTGCCGCCGACCGCCAGTGGCGGGTCTCCGACACAGGCCACGAGAAGTTCAACGAGGTGGTCGCGGACGGGAGCATGTTGGGGGATCGAGCGGTCGTGAAGGGCGACACCGGGCTGTACTGTATCGACGAGGGCGCCAGCGAGTGGGTGTCCGTTCAGCGTGTGCGGGTCCAGGACCACGACGCCTGGCTGGAGAAGAAGCGCAGCGGCCCAGGTCGGGACCTGCGCATTCTTCCTGTGCATCGCGACGCGGGTGGCAAGAGAGTGATGCTGCTCCGCGAGTCCATCAACCTCTTCCGCGAGCCGAAGTTCCCCGACTGGCCGTTCGAGGGACCCTCGGCCGCCAAGGAGGTCTTGGGCGACGTGGCTGCGGCGGGACTGGAGCTCCATCTGTACCCGACGTGGTGGGAGAGCAAGAGCGGGGTGAACCCAGCGGGCAGCGTGGCGCGGGAGGTGCGTCTGGCCTTCGACTACCTGAGGATGCTCCAAGCATACGACCAGACGAACATGGTGTCCTTGGCGGCGGTGGAGCTGATCTGCCGCCGCATCGTCGTCTGCCAGAAGGCCGTGCGGCGGAACCCGAAGGCGCCGGACTTCACCGGCCTCGAGCGCTTCGTGCTGTCCAACTTCGACGAGTCAGGAGGACTCAAGACGACGGAGTTCGACAAGTACATGGCGGAGCAGCAGAAGGCCAGCGCCGTGGTGCTCAAGAGTATGCGGCAGGACGTCGAGGAGCAGGAGAACGAGAAGAAGAGGCAGGCCGGCCGCCAGCAAGGCGGCGGCAAGACGGGCAACGGCTAGAGAGACGTGGGGGCGGCGACGGGTCCAAGCCGGTATCGCGGGGCTTGGGCGGATCGGCGGCGCCCCCTTCCTCGAGGCCGTGTACGGCCTCCACTGACCGCGAGATTTTGTCATCGCCCTGCGATGCGTTCCCCTTGCCGACGGGCTCCGCGTTGGACATGTTTGGCGAGGGTGATCGGGCGGCTTCGCGCCGCCTCCCGACTCGAGCGGGCGACGAGCCCTCAGCAGCAGCCCTCGTGTCAGACGCGGTGGCGGCGCTGAATGGCCTGGCGTCAGCGCGGATCGGCCGACCACTGCAGGCGCGGCGGTCGCGGCCAGCAGAGCGAGAGGTCACGTCGGCTCAGCAGTCGATTCTGGACCGTGTCGCGGAGCGGGTAGACGACCAGTTTCTTGCCCCTCCAGATGCAGTTTTTCTTCGGCGCTTCCGGACCTCCTGAAGTGCGCGGACATGTATTTGACGAGCGAGTCCTCCAGCCGGGTCCCCATCCAGCTGGAGCGGCTCAAGATTTTGCAGAACAGCACGATGCCCAAGGAAGCCCTGGATGTGGTCGGCGCGGACGCCCGCAAGCTGCTGGCGGACCCCTGGCGCTACATCGAGCGGCGGGCCAACGACGTGGAGGCGGACGGTCCACCTCCTCGGCCATACACCGACCCCAGACTTCGGTTCAGCCGCAAGTTGATGAAGGAGCTCGTGCTCACCCTCCACCGGGGCAACCTCGTGGTCTTCCGGCCCTCGGTGAAGGCTTTCATCGGCCTCTTCACGGTGGTCAAGAAGGACGGCTGGTGGCAGCGGCTTATCGTCGACGCCCGCGTGCCGAACCATTGGCACCGGCGGCCGCCGCACTCGTACCTGGCGACGCCGGGGGCGGCCTCCGCTCTCGACCTGAGCGATGCCGCGCTGGAGCCCGGGGCCGCTGGCTCGCTTGAGCTGTGCGGCGCCGCGGTCGACCTGCAGGACGGGTTCTACCAGCTGAGCTTCAAGGTGATGAGCGACTGGTTCGGCATCGATTGCCGGATGACCGCTGCCGAGGCGGGGATCACGCAGGTCTTCGACGTCGTGGACGGGGTCGGCACCTGGCTGCCCGTCGCGGCCAAGGACCCCGTGTGGCCGTGTTTTTGTGGCGTGCCCATGGGGTGGACCTGGGCGCTCTTCATCTGCCACTCAGCCCTGACTGACGCCATGGTCGAGTCCCTCGTGCGCGTGATGCGCTGCGATCGCGGTCTGGCCGAGGCTCAGCTGCTCCGCGACGGGCAGCCCGCGCCCCGGCTGGCCAAGGGGCGCCCGGTCGCAGCGCCGTACGTGGACAATGGGAACTTGTTGTGCTTCGACCGCGAGGACGCTGCCGTGTTCTACGGCTCGATGGTGGCCGTCCTCAGCGAGCGGGGCTTCACGCTGCGGGACAACGTGGAGTGCGACGCGAACCTCGACATGGTGGGTTTCGAGCTGCAGGGCGCCAAGTTCGTCTGGAGGCAGCGGCGGTCTCGGTTCTGGCGTCTGTGGCACGCGCTGCGACAGCTGGAGCTCCGAGGCGGCTGCACGGGGGAGGTGATGCGCATCATCCTCGGCCACCTGGTCAACTTCTTCATGCTCTCGCGGCCCGCCCTCAGCGTGTTGTCGCAGTTGTATGTTTTTAGCACTGAGAACCTCGGGCGCTACCGACGGTTTGACGGCCATGTTCGAGGGGAGCTGGTCACCTGCCGCGGCTTGTTAGCCCTCGTTCGCAGTCGGCTGCGGCCGCACCACTACCCAGTCGCCTTTTGCTCAGATGCCTCGACGCGGGGCTACGCGATCCACAGTGGGCAGATCGACCCCCACCTGCTGTACGACGTCTGCCGCTGGCGAGAGCGCTGGCGATTCGCCGTCGCGGAGGAGGACGAGGGGCCCGGCATCGACGGGGCTCAGACCGGGCTGGACGCCGACTTCCGCGAGCTGGGCGCCGACCTGGACATCGAGGACGGCGACTGGGATCGGAGGGGCGACCGCGCAGTTCCTGCGCGGCGCGCCCCGCGGGTCAGCAGCCTGGTGCCCGCCGAGGCCCTGCGGGCTGCCGAGCTCGGCCTCCCGCACCCCAGGGTCACGGGGATCGTGCCCGCGCTGCCGGACACGCTGGTGGCGCCGACGCGCTGGCGGCGGCTTCTGGTCGGCGCCTGGCAGCGCCGCGAGGCGATCCACATGAAGGAGGCGAGGATCGCGCTGGTGGGGCTGTACCACGCCGTCCGGGACCCTGCCAGCCACGGAGGCGTGGTCTTGTCGCTGGGCGATAACCTCTCGGAGGTCCTCGCCACCGAGCGGGGCCGGGCGCATGACCCCGCCCTCAACTCAGTGTGCCGCCGGGCAGCGGCGGTCGAGCTCGGAGCCGAGGTGAGGTGGGTTCGCCGCTACGTGGAGACGGACCGCAACCCCACGGACTCGGACTCCAGGCTCGCGGAGCAGGGGATCCTGGCGCCGGGCGAGTCGCTGCGCGGGGGTCGCCTTGCCGCCCGGCTGGGGCGCCTGCGCGAGGGCGCGTGCCGCCCCGACCGCGTGCCCGAGGGCGCCCCGCGCGCCGCCGCGGGCTCGGCGGCGGCGCCGGCGCCTCCCGCGGGCCCCCAGCGCCGGCCACTGTGGCCTGGTGCACGGGGGCCATCGCGTCGGCGCGACCGCGCTGGGGTGCTGGAGATCTTCGGCGGGAGCTGCAGGTTCTCTGGCGCGTGCGCGGCGGCTGGCCTCCGCATCCTGTGCCCTGTCGATGTCTCGGCCGGGCCGCACTTCAACGTTCTTTGCATCGCTGTCCAGCAAAAGATACTGCATTGGATTTCTCACGGATATGTCTGTCATGTACACATTGCTACCCCGTGTGCCCGCTGGAGTGTAGCCAACACGACTGGGGCCCCAGACTCGGAAGGTTCGAGAGCAGGCCTTGGGTGCGCTGACTTCACGGTGCGGGTCCTCAGGATGTGCCATCGGTGTGGGGTCTCCGTGTCGCTCGAGAACCCTAGGTCTTCGAGGCTCCTGAAGTACCCGCCCCTCGCTAACATCTTCGAGAAACTGGGCTGCGTGTCGTTCGAGTATCACTGTTGTCGCTATGGGGCTCCTTACCTTAAGCCGACCGTGTTCGTGACGAACGTCCCGTCCTTGAGTGTCATTGAGAGGGCCTGTGTGTGTACTGTACCCCATGAACGACTAGAAGGTAAAGTAAAGATCCCAGATGAGA